TTAAAAAATGGATTAAGTCTATTTATTACGCACAAGAAACGCGGAAAGGGTAGATCGATGAGATGCAAACCAACTCAAGATAAAAAAGATATTTATTCTTTAATATATTACGAATGTAAGAAAATACGATTGATTATAAGCTAGTCGTTAAATAGCTATATCCTTGACGATATACATTGCTTCATTATCGCATCCGAAAAGTAACGTTGATCTATCGATATCAATAGTATTTATCGGTTTGTGCATAACGTTACAGAGCGACGTTACGTTCACTTTGCCATTTGTACCGATTGTATTTAACCAGTGCGTATTCGTGGGATCTAAGGAGATAACAATCGAAATTAAAACAGACGATAAATTCCTTTTATTATTTTCTACCTACCCAAACTTAGTTTCGAATGTTGCGCATTATTCCAATGCCATAATTCACCGCTAGCAGAGCACGTAAACAGATTTTCTGGCCTATCAGGGTGGAAGAGTATTTCACTAACAGATTTACCGTGAGCATTTAATTGAGAAATCGGATACGTATTATGCCTCAAGTCCCACACTGTTAAACTCCCATCACCGCCGCCAGCTACGACGATATGTCTTTGAGTCGGATGGTGAGCAATGCTCGTAGCTTCTGTCTGCAATAATTTCTCTTTATTCCGTTCCACAGGGAACTTCTCTGAGTAAGAGCGAAATGATTATACTTTTGCCTGATCAGAAAGCATAAATGTTGTGGCAGGAATGTCTTGATCATTTCTTAAGTCCCATACTTTCATGTTTCCCCTCAAGTTCCCTGTAAGTATCTCGCTATGCCTTAAGAAATCAACGCAATATATCGAACAACTGTCAGCATTGTCTGTAAATGAAAATAGTCATTTATGGAAAGGGCAAAAAGTCGTAACACATCATTGTAATAATAATTAGAGTACCAATAACTCTGACTGGCTTCTTTTGTCCAGCTGTTAGGAGATTGATCTTTCCATCTTCTCCCACTGAAACTATATCCTGTTCGAACGTAGACAGTCCAGTGCAAGATGCACGATCATTTGTTTTCCTATTTAAGAACAAATAATTATGCGTGCAATGGACAACAGATGAAGCATCAATTAACGAGACTTACTCAAATTTATGTATGAATTCCCAAGACATGTGATCTTTAAATTGGGAATAGGGATTCTCAGGGATCTGGAACAGTCTAACAGTTCCTACGGACGTTGAGACGACGAAAAAGTCTTTTGAAATGAACTGAAAAAATGATAGTGTCTGTAAAAAATTAAGGAATCTATCTTGTTTTATCACAGGAGCGAACGGCAACCTTTATTTCGGTAACATCTCCGAAAACGGGGTACGATGAAACTACTGCCGGATACGATTCACCGTCATCGTTCACTTGAAATGTCCAGTGAGTTACTTTATTTACCTGCGGTAACGTACAAAATTCTGAATGATTAACAGATCAATACATGTATTAATACAATATAGCAATTGTGCACTATGTTTATCGTATAAGAGTCTAACGAGCGCTAGATCAGATTAGAAATATTTTAAATTGACAGAAAGAAATTCACAGTCAACTTATAACACGTTTAACGTATTATATCTACAGTGGCAGGTTAAGCCCATTTAACCTTACCGGATCATCCCAACTGCCGGCTAAAAAATTAGATGCTTCCTCGTAATCCTCATGTTTCCATCTTATCTTCGAAACTTTCTCCGAGACGAATGTCCCTTGTATATTTTCGCACATCTCGTTACGGAGCACAATTTAATTTTGAGAAGAAAAGCGTAACGAGCTAAACCACTTGACTATCATGCACACGCGTTTCCCGCGTTTCCACTCGACTGACAAAAAGACCGCTAAACTTGCTACATGTATCTTTAACAAAATCCAGAACGTATATATTTAATTCTCTCCAGCAGTACGTGAAAATATTCTACAAAAGAATGAATGTATCAATGCAAGAGAAAATATTTGTTATTATCATATTTATTTGAAGTAAAAAATAGAATGTGAAAGTTCAAAGGTACAGAGATTCTTACGTTCTTATTTAAACGTAGAAAATTAGTAGCGTACGTATTATACAATCGTTATTGATATGTAAATAACCTGGCTTATTCAGAAGAAACGATTTCTATAGGGAAGTGATCAAGACAAAAGGGTAGGGATTCACCTATATTTTATAATTCACGAGAGACACGGAGGACAGTTATCGATCGGATCGCGGACCAGATGTATATCAGTCGAAACTTGAAGATTAAACATATACTCTTGTGATCTATATTTATAACCCAGGAAGTCGAACATATTTCTTTTTTATTTTAAAAGTGATCACACCTCGAGATGGCATCGACGATTTTATTGTTCTTGTATTTGAATACGCTCTACTTAACTTGCTGTGATGCAAGCGGTTCAGGCGTTACCAATCCCTGTGAGTAGTTTAATAACAGATCAAAAGGTGTTGTCGTTTAATATTTAAATAGAAGTTATACGAAATGATTTAGCTACTAATTCGACGAGCGACGACGATGTCACGGAAACGCAACTGGCGAGTTGCAAAATCGTTACAGAAGAATTAGTCGCAAGTGCACGCGCAACAGTAACGAGAGTACTCACCGGAGCTTGCAACGCGAGTAAAGAAAAGGATTACTTTGGAAATATTGCGGATTTTATGAATGGAAAACTTGTATTTGTCAAAAATATAGAAAATGCATTCGACACGCAAGAGTTTCTGAACGATAAAAGAAATTCTTGTCTCTGCAGCATTCTCTAAATTGACATTACAAGTGCCTTATTTAGCATAAAAATCCGCGATCTATTTATAACTATAACTGATTCCATCCGTAAATATCTAGGAAAGATGGATGAGAAGCTGCAAGCTCTCGAGAAGAATCTGAACAGAGAACTCGAAGAAATTAAGACTCTGTTGTACGCGATACTAGAGAATAAGAAGTATCAAAAATCATACAGTGTTTATCATGAAGATTATCCAATTATGAGGTTGTCTCCGCGACAGACGGAAATCGACGAATTCAACAATACCATCCAAAGGGTTTCGTCGTTAAACGGTTCGTATTAGAAAGCAAGGGTTAAAATCGTTCGCGCTGATCGATGCGATTGCGCAACGAGGAACTCGGGTCGCATACAAATTGACCAAATGCAAATGTTCGCGATCTATCACTTGATGCAGGGTCCTCGTCAAGTTTGTTCTTTTATTACTGGCAAATAAAACGTTTCGACGAGAAACTTGACAGTTGGAAAACTGCTCGTTCCGTCCGCAGCTCGACGTTTTACGTAGGCCAGAATGGCTACGCAATGTACATCAAAGTTACGCCGCGATATTTCCCGGACGGTACGGTGTTCATAAGCGTGGGATTGACCCGCGGTCGTCAAGACTCCGTTCTCGAATGGCCGTTTCCCCATCAGATTCGTCTCGAGGTAAAAAAAAACTTTGCATACAAATCTGCGGTGTAGTAATAATAATTAAGCAAGTCAGGAAGTATGAATCAAAATCAGCAGTACTCAATAAATATTAGGATGAATAATGTAACGTTGTACGACCAGAGCAATAGCTATATTTTATAGTTCCTTGTTAAAAAGATGATGACGCCCTTTAGGTTTTAGACCATTCGTCCGAAGAACCGCGGCAAGATCGACGATCACGGATTTGGGATCCGTCCACGCTCTGCTCGGAATATTTTTGGGGCCGTCCAAAATTAACTGGAGAACCAGATAATCCAGAGTGCGTCGGGTTAAGCGTTTCGCGAAAGGTTCTTTTCTCCGAGCCAATGTCTTCCCTGGACCGTCCGCCGAGGAACACGAGATACCTTTGGGACGGGACTATCGTAATAAAATTAACAGTTTATCTTTAAATAATAGAGATCATAATAAGTAGATTGCGGATTCTTATGTAAAATGGTGTCAGTTTTAAGAAAAGTTATTTTAACATTTCTTTCATTTCTACATTCTTCTATATTCAATTTTCTTCCTCGAATCCGTAGTCTAATAATAAACTAATCAGTAGTATTCTGTAGATGATTTTATTTAACTTTATTGAGAATTCAATTTCAACGTACAAGCTGTACAGTATATGAAGAAAATGTCTAATCGGATGGAAAATAAAAGAACATTTTATCCGGAGGAAAAAACGGAGAGAGAGCAACGAATTTTCTGTTTAAAGTTCTTCTTCTTCTTCATCGACTGGAATTAAGTTACGGGTACGATGAATGAATGTCGAACCTCTTGTGAAGAGGCATTCTACCCGATAGATAGACCTGTGGTGTTTCGGACGACCGGTGCTCATTACTGTCTTGTTCAATCTTGTTCTGAATATTCTGAGGATAGGCTGCCTTTAGCAAGCTCTTGTAGATAGAAATCGGAATTCGGATGCTGCCAGTTTTAAAATCTTGAGTGTCTGAGTTTTCCTGGAAATTTCTCTTCCTCCCGCATCCTGCAAGGAATTCGATGTTACAAGTTTCAATCAGGTCCGCGTCCCATCTGCAAGCCTCACCAGTGAAAGCGTTGCAGAACGGTCTCTTCGTTTTCAGCATTTTGTCCGCGGGGAACGCATTCAATAATTGTTGCCCGGGCTGACGATTAATTAACCGAGTGTAGAGATCGTCATCATTGCTCGCTCGGAAATAATCTACCTGGTTCTGAGAAATCTCAGAACGTCCCACGCTCGTTAAGCATGCCAACACGAGAACGCAGCAAACGTAACTGATTACCTAAAGTTAATCGCAGAGTATTAACCCTTTGTCGGATGAAAGTATATAAATGTTGTCCTCGTTACTTGACCAGATCATTAATGACACGCTTTTGAGAACGTTTGAAATCCAGAATAATTCCAGGGCTACACGTAATTTCTGATTAGCATGTTTGTTACACAAGTATCACACGCAAAGCTTTCAAACATGGTAACTGCTGTAATCTGCTTATGAGTTTAATCAGGTTTGTACTGCAATTAATTAATGTCGAACGATAATGTCTAATAATGTTCGGTCGATCGTTCCCTCTTGCGATATTTCCATCAGTCATCCGTACAATCAAAAATTTCCAACTTCAAGTTCACTAGATGTACCGATACAAAACTGGTCTCGTATTAAACAATAATTAAATGTTCAAACATTTTAAACTTCATTGTCATTAATGAGTCAGATAAACATAGTTTTGTTAGTAACATTTCTTTTAAATTTCTCAAATGAAACTAAAGAGCTATTTCACGTACGATTTATATTGTTAATCAGGAAAGAATCGATCGACGATCGACACTCTTCTGTCAGCTATTATATTACAACGAGACGCGTTAACGTAACGCTCCTTCAAAATAATATTCACTTAATTCCTAATTTCGATCCATATAAAAATAATCATGAAAATTGGTATGCACTAATAAGATATTCTTACGTTTTATAGAAGTATTCAGATTCCAATAGAAAAAAACGGATGTATGCAAAACATCTTACCTTCATCCCGAAGCCGTCCACTCTGGAAATGAATATTTGCAATTTGAAGAAATCCCGGTCCGAATTTAAGCACTGGTTTAATAAAACGTTCGCGATTTGGTAAGGGGTTGTCGCTCGCAGGTAAGGAGTCGGTGTATGAGGGATGAAATCGCGCGGCCGCTCTTCAAGTACTACCCCCTCCTTGGTGGTCATATCAGGGCGTAAATACATGCGCCCGAGGGACGCATGATCGTTCATAATGGTCCACGGAGCAGTACGCTTAATGTTCTTTATACAGGACGCGGTTTGTTTTACATACATTCCGCGTTCATGCTAGAAGAAACACACAAACGTGGACTCGCATCTCTATCCATTCTGACTACTGATGCGTTAAACATGAAAACTCTTCCATCTTTCAGTTTTAATAATACCCGTTATTCCTGATATATTATAGTTTAACCAGATTTCAAAAGGGCATGATATGAAACAAACCTTTTAAGAGAATTACATTAAACACCGAGAAATTAGGGTATGCAAGCTCTCCCTAAAGGTTTTAATAGTTTCGCACCACCCATGGTCATCGAACTTGTATCTGGCCGAAAAAGTGGCCCCACTCAATATGCAAAGAGAACAGAAGATTGCAACGTACTATCGAGTCTGAGAAAAAAGAAGCGGTCCACGAAAGGCTGACCAATAAGGGACTTCGTGTAAATCAAAGGAAAGCAGCCGGAGTTAAGTAGTTACAACGTTCGCACATCAGAAACCCGCTGAGTTACGATAAGGTCATTCAACCCTTAGCAACTACCCCTCATCTTCGCTCTTTAAAACTTCTCAGCCTTTGTCTCAAACATAAAATCAATGGCGAAAAAAAGAATTATAGCATCGTTTAGGGTGTGAAAGTACAGGTGTTTAAAACGAGCCCGGGTAGAGCTGCTTGTTTTTGTTTCAGCTGACAATTAGTTCGATTACCGTCACGCATCGGGCACTTTCGGTGACTCGGGTCTGATTTTCTTTGTTTTGTGCTCTCTATCTCTTTCTCCTCTGTACGCATTTTGTGTACCTTCTTTTTTTCTTCGACTTTATCACGTGTCCATAGGCAATAAGGCAGTTCCAGTTAGCGTCAATTCAGTCAGCCGTTACGAAGAATTCCTTCGTGCTTTCTACGTATCCTTGATAATAATTTGCGTTGTGTTGATTAATTCATTAAATTCGATTTATCATGTTTCTTAAGCCGCTCAGCCGTTCTTCAATAATCTGAAATCATGATCTCAAGTTGATCGACTTAAATATATTGTAAATCACAATGGCTTCGCACCTTATGAATAAGAGATGTGTAGAAAGCAGTATAATTCTTGATATATGAGACTCCCCCTCGTATAAAACGAATGAAGATTACTTCGATGGGAGTTATATTATGTTCAATAAAAAACGTCTGTGCGAGAATAATCCTAGGTAGATCCAACGGGGTGAAAGTTCGAAATTGCTAAACACGTGAGTCATATATTTTTTGAGATAAAAGAATGAAGACAATTTTCTTTATATGTATTTTTTGTATATCACTAAATGAATTGCAATAGTTAATAATAATATAACTAGGGTTTTTAAAAAATTGAATTCCCTTTGAGAGAGTTGAGCAGCCCTCCTCAACGAGCGCCCGAATAGCTCAGTCGGTAGAGCATCAGACTTTTAATCTGAGGGTCCAGGGTTCGAGTCCCTGTTCGGGCGTAATATTTTTTGAAAATTTTTATTTATTGCAAAATAACATCTTATTTATACTTTTACACACGTATGTGCTGCGCGTATAGATATGATCTAATATCACGCAAAGTACTTAGCCTTTACCTCATTACTCTGCAGAGTGTAAGATCTAAGAGGGACAAGGTGAAAATAAAATTCGATGAAATTATATAAAAATCCTATTTAATATCCTTAATTTTTGGTTTTACATTGATCGATAAATTACACGTTTGAGCACCATCTGTAGCACACTTCGAGGCAAAATTTCTCGGACATCCGGTGTCGAAGTACATAGCCGTTTAAGTATTTCGTTTGATAACAAATTAAAAGACATACAGAAAACGTTTCAGTCCGTAGAAAGCAATTAAACTCCACGCATGGCCAGAGTTAGTACATAAAAATGTGTAAATGTAACGAGTACTGAATGGCAAACATGGGCACGTATTATCACTTGAGACAGAAAAGATAGCTAGAATTGTTCGAATCCTCTTGTCACAGCTTGTAACTTGTATCAAATATCATAAAACAATATTTAAGTAAACGTGAATGGAACACATTAAACTTGTTCTTTAACGCTGCCGTCAGACATTCCGAAGTATACTTTCTTCGCCATGTTTATAAAGAGTCCTGTCTCGACAACGCCGGGCATCATTGAGATCTCTATGTTGATTTCATTCCAATTACTCAGCTCTGGCGGAAAATGCCAGTCAAGGATGAAATTGCCATTATCCGTTATGACTGGACCCTAGACGAAGACAGATGAATAATATGCTTTACGTAATCGAGTTCTCATCGGCACATGCAAGAATCGAAGAGAAATGCTTACAGCTTTAGCCAAGGCCATTCTAACTTGAACAGTTCCTCCAAAATTGGCTACAATTCTTTTTTGTATGGCAACGTATGCCATTGGAATTACTTCAATAGGAATGCCTTTCTTATATTGTTCCCCAAGTTTCTTAGAATTTTTTCTGAAACAATTATATTCGGAATAATAATGATAGAAGTAGAATAAAAATTAAATATACTTTTATCACTCACGTGTAATCAGCTACTATTATAAGTTGATTAGCACAGGATGCAACAATCTTCTCTTGAAGCAAACATCCTCCTCCACCTTTAATGAGATTCATCCGAGAATCAACTTCATCTGCTCCATCAATTGCACAATCCAACTGTTAATATTTAAGTGAATATAAAAATTCTTTATGCACAGTGAATAAGTGAAAAATGTATGCTTCTTACTTTAGGATAGCTCTCTAAATCACCCAGTGTCAGGTGATTGTCTAATATCAGCTGGCGAGCTTGAAATGACGTTGGGACACAGACAACATTGAGATTCTCTTCCTTCGTACGTTCCACTGAAAAATATAATCATTTCGATAAATAATTTATACTGTAAAATCAGAAACAAAGTGTCGTATCTGTAGCTATGTACATTTGTCGTGAAAAAATTTCGATGTAATTGTTAGAATGAGGTTCTAATTAACTACTATCTGATCACACGATACGGGCAAAGTTCAACCGTGACTCCATGCAGTAATTAACTACAAAATTATATCAATTTACTCGCGAGTAAGCGTGTTACGAGTTACGTGAATTATTTGCAAAATAAAATATTGTTACCCAGCCTGTGAATAGCGTATATTACAGTAGACCCGCTACCGATCCCGATAACGCTGTTATTCTGCAAAATAATCATGTGCAGAAATTATGAACGATGAAACACCGGTTAGTTTATATAACCTATAATCACATCGAGATTTAGTTCTTACCTTAACGTATTCGTCGACCGCTTTGTAAGCTGCGATCTTTTTAGCATTCTCCAACGGCCCCATTTTTTATGTACTTTCTGAACCGTTGAAGATTAACGCGGAGAACTGTAAATGTAAATCTCCGCGAAATACTATGCGTGCTGTGCGTGCATACTGTATAGTTACCAAACAGACCTAGCATCACCTACATCTACATCACCTAGCATTTCCAAAATCATTCTCTAACGGATCGTTGGGAGCAACCTTTGTTCTAAGGGAGCAACGAATCGCGAGCCAGCTAATGTGCGCAAGTGCGGCGGTGGAATCCGATTCGAACGCGTTGGTAGAATAAACGTACACTTGCCGTTCAATCGAATTTCCATTATATTTAGCATCAGAGGCGAATAACACAAAATACAACCAAACACGATTTACATTTCAATAATTATTACGTATAAGATTTCACTTGAATTCTCTATTACTTAATAGTGATATTCGTCGACACCTTCTTTCCGTCGTGCACAAATATTTCTCTCCCAATCTAGTACACTTTCATTCATATCAACGCCTGTTAACTCTTTATTGTATCGATTGATGTGTTTCGTCAGGTAAAAATCCTCAATTTTATGTATTCGAGCAGGCTTAGGAATAGGTGTTTAGCAAAAATTCATCATGTGTACATCGATACTCTCTCTCTCTCTTTCTCTCTCTCTCTCTTTTTCTCTCGGCAGCAACTTTGTTAGGATAGAAGAAACGAATTCTAATTTCGCGGAGTGCACTCTGACTGCGTGTATACCGACGAGCAAGGCCGAATTAAGGTAATCTTACGCACAACTGTTATTGTGCAAAAATCTAACGCTATGTATTTGTGACCGATAATAAAGAGATCGTAGCCTTGCGCAGTAAGACTAGGACATCTATAGATGTGGTATACCACGAGCCTGTCCTACGAAGTGTGAAAAACATTTTCTTCCGCAACGGAATATCGATAATGAACATCGCCTCGAGAAGCTTACATACATAAAGCCGATGATTGTTTATCATGATTTATTTTATTCATTTTCTTAACTCGGGCAGTGGATCACGCTTAATGCGGCCGTGCCAACAAATAAGTTTGCAATAACGCTGATTGCAAAAGTTAATCTCTACGTTCAAAAGATGTACTTTCCATGTGTGTGTGTATATATATATCTTCTTTTTCTCTCCGAATATTGCGCGCGTCCTATTTTGAAAATGATCAGCTATACCAAACGAAAAGAGTGAAGATGAAAGGAAAGAAAATATGCTTTCTTTCGTCTCATACAGGCACACACAAGTACAGTTTATTCCTCTCATTCTTACACTGTTTCCGCTTGCCCGACGAACTAGAAAGGACTTTCTTTTGATTCTACCCTTTTACATCCCGTACACCACCCCTTGAAACGAACAAGTCTCGAAATGAAATTGTTTAGAAGCCGCTACATTGTCTTTTAATCCACTCTTCTCTCTAACGATGATACATATACATATTACACGTATGTATACGCCGTTTGCTAGTTCCTACAAATTTTTGTTTCTATCGTGCTCTCCTCCGTACACCGCTCGTTTCTTCCTTTGGCTAGGATTACAAGTAGAACTCGTTCGAGTTTCGTGAAAAATACTCTAACGTGTCTGGACAACCGTTCGCAAATGAATAACACACGAATTTGTTCTTAAGGATGTATTGGCTATACAGTCAATCCCGAAAGTTTATGTATCCTAGATAAACGCCTTTTCTAGAATTAAAAAGAAATCAGACGTCGGA